TGACGATTCAAATAAAAATAAATATCAAATAAAAAGAATATCAAACATTTAAGTTTGATATTCATTTTATTTGAGTCCTTTATCTTTTGAGTGTCTTATGATACTTAAACGTAAAAACACTAAAATTAATCTCGGACTCTTCTGGATTGGATTCGGTTTTTCCGACAGAAGGTACTATTTTGAAATAATCCAACTCTGCTTTGGCTTGACCTATATTTTTGTATTTTTGCACTCGAAAGGCAGGTGAAACCCTAAATGAGGCCGCTATCATTCTCTACCTTCTGTGAAACACACACATGCCATCCTAAGAGTGGGGGGAGGACCCTGGATCGAATCTGGAGGTGTCGAAAATCCCCAGAAATTTTTTGGGAGTCGTCTGTCCGGACATGCCGGGATCCATCCCTCACCACCCGGCCGTCTCATTATAGGTCTAGCCCAGGGGTCGGAATTAGCGGCTCGCGAGCCGCATGCGGCTCTTTGCATAGACGTTTGCGGCTCTTCGGACATAAACTCCAATTTCACCTCACCTCATTTCACTGCAGCCTTTTAACATATGTGTTTATGAGATAGAGCCGCCGAACAAACTTCGACTCGTACGCCGTCCGCATATGACCACACTCGCATTGTTCAATATGAATCGCATAAGAGTGGTAGCATTTGAAGCATATCTATATATATAACGCATTAAACGCGTGTCCGTCCATCCGTGTAACGTTATGCCAAAAACGTTCACTAGACGCGCCCCTGTCGTGTGTCGTATTTCGCACATTTAAATTAATATGCGGCTCTCTGGTACTTTTGTTATCCTGTTTTTATGACAGTTTGGCTCTTCTCACTTGACAAACTGCCGACCCCTGGTCTAGCCAAACCCATAATAGGTTTGTTAAAAAGGCTCTCTTACTGTTAGTGCCCATAGGATGGGAAAAAAGACTGTATTATGAAGAGTTTATGATCGGTTTTCTACATAACTTTGTAATAGCGTAACTTTGTAAGAGAAGTAATAGCGAGAATAGTAACGATTTAAAAAAAAAATAAATTTTCTAAATGCAAAAAAACATTTAAATTTTCGAATATTTTATTAAAATAACACACGGGGAGTTTGGTAGTTTAACTCTCCTTTTGAGAACGATTAAAAATAATACAGTAAAAATGTCTATAATCTATACTATAAAAATAAACTATCAATAAGTTATGAAAAAAATAACGCAACTCTTCAAGTTTTGTATATTTTGTTGCAGAGGTTTTCAGTATTGCTTTCAAATGCTCATCTATTATGAATATCTGTAAACACCTACGACAGGTGCAAGCTGTTTAGTAATTTAGTGTTTTCGCAAAAATATATCATTATAATTTTAAATTTTCGTGTTATAGCATTTTATTAGCAACTTCAATTTAGTTTTCAATATACTGAAGTTCAATAAGAACACAAAGATTGATCGAGACAATAGTTTGCTCAGGACTTGTCGTAACTAAAACTCTAATCATGGATATAATAATGGTCGAAAAACTACTTCAAAATTAAATTTTTATTCAGATATAGAATGGTGTAGAAATTTTTTATATATATTATTGTTATAATTGGACTGGATTGATGAAATAAGGCAATATAACACATGGTCGACGGCGTTGACTTGTGTTGTATATATATATTGGAGGAACAATGAGTAAAAATTCTCATTGTCGGGTTTTGAGTTTAATAAAATAACACAGTTTAATAGGTTCATGTTATTTCATATGCAATTTTACTTTATCATCACAGTTTGAAATCAAGGCAAACGTATTGCTTCGATTTAAAACTGTGGCAATAAGGTAAAACATATTCATGAGTTTAATGGCTTTACTCACGTTATGTAATTAGTAGCGTAACCATGAGGGAGACCCAAGGGACTAAGGAAACCCGGACCCACTTAACTTCGTAAATAAATATATATAGGAAAATGATTTGAATGTAATGAACGCACTTACAAACACGTATACAAGAGTTTACTCTTCGTACACAGCGCTAGTGGCTACATCACAGTGATATAGGGGTTAGTGTTCTAATTTGGGGCCCCGGATATCGATTTTAGTTACGTTATTGATAATTATTATTGAAATTATCCATAATAAATTTGTTGTCCTCGATCTAAGATAATACGATAGATTTTATATTTGTGACTATCTTCTTTATCGTTGCGGGATATATGAAAAAGAAGGATACGATGTTATAAAAATAACTTAAATAGTATTTTTATAATTAGTAATCTAGTTATTACTGTGCAATTTTCGACACAATCTAAAAATAAAGTTAATTGTGTCAATTTTTCTCGTTTCCTCTATTTATTTATTAAAATATTATTAAAATATATGGTCTTCATTAATTGAAAGTGCTATTACTCTACTTTCACAGCAGACAGACAAAATACTGTATATGAAAACTGTTAGCATTTCTTCCCTATAAAATATTACAAACGAAACATGTTAATATATATAATATTTTCAGAGAAATCCTCAAATATCTATGGAAATTTTGACTAAATTTCGATCAAAACATGTTTACGGTCAAGTAAAGAAACACTTTTCCCCCCTTTCTTTAATATCAGATATGCAGTAACATAATGATGATGCGAAATCGATAAATTGTCATTTCTCAAAAGTTATCAATCCATAATACCAGATAATTTATTTCAATAGATTTCTATGATACTTGGTAATTTTAATGTTATCCTAAAATTGAACACGTTGCTACATTTCTAGAAAAGATAAAAATATACTGGATCGAATGTAATCTCAATTTAAATCAATCCATTTCTCAAATGTCTCTGACTAAATTCGATACTCTCATGAATTAACAATTTTACTTTAAATAATGCGAACAACCTTGAATTTTTTGAAAGTCTCCAACTTTATTTTGATCAATCTGCAATACACTTATTCATTCATCTTCTACCTGAACACGATACATATCGAAAAACGATTTGACTTTTTTTTTGAAGTATAGGAGTATTACCAGTAAATTAACTTAAAAAAAATATAATTATAGCATAAAAGTGGTTAAGACATCAGCCTACCGCTCCGAGAGATCTAGAATCTATCCTAAAATCCAGGAATCTTTCGGGGTGGTCAGTCCAGAATGTGTCGAACCACTTCCCTCACCATCCTGCCATTCCTATTGTGGGCATGGACGAACTAACAATGGTTATGGTTAAAAGGCTGTTTTAGTGTCTACAAGGCGAAAAAAGTCAAAAAGAAAGAAAAGCATAAAAGCTTTTTTATTATTTTCGCGAATTATTTTATTTAAAAAAATTTAATATTCTATAATTATTTCAGAATTTTTTTCACTATATACAGTATTATTGCTTGTACTCGATTTTCTCAAAATCTTGGCTTCTTCCCAAAACTACTTTCGCCATGTTTAGATTATTAAGTGTGAAACAAAATAGACTAATTCTGTTGATGATTGCAATAATATCCAGATGCATAAATTCTAAGTTTATACTTGTAACAAATTCAGCTTTCTAAAAACTTATATAGCCTATTTATTTTATATATATATATATATATTCATAAGACTAATGTAATTTGTTATTTCTGTTATTAAATTTTTATTTACAATATTTTTGGAAACAGAACAGAATTAATTTTTTAAAATTATAAAAATTATGATTATTGGACTGCAATTTAAAAAAAACTGTAGACCTATAAATTTCCTCTGTCATCTGTCTGTCTGTCTTTCCTTAATCTCGAGAACGGAGTTAGATAGATGAAAGTTGCGACCAGATATGGAAAGCTTATGAGAAGGAGACCTCGATTAACTATATAGCAACTTCCAATACAAACCAAAAGTTATGTTAATTTAATTTAAAAACTCTTCCCTGAGAAGAGTTAGATAGCTGGCCAACATGACTATTACTAACAGGAAAAGTATGATGTACAGGGGCAAAACACTACTAATTTGACGTGGAGAACATTAAAAATATGATTAAGAATTGCAGCCCGGCATTGTTGCGATGTGACAATAAATAATTGTTCGTTATTTCTTAATGTTTTCTAAATATATACTATTATTTGAAGCTAAATTTTCATTAAAATTAGACATCAAGAGCGTCTAAAAGAAAGGGCCAGGATGAGCAAATCCTTTCTAAGATTTACTTTATTTTTTCTAATAGGAATTTTGGGTTCGCGCCTCACTAACGAGAGGGTCACGTGGATTTTTCCGTGTTTTCTTCACGTGCCTAACATCTAACTAGTTTCCCATTGAATGTCCTCTCGACAGGCATTCCATCTTGACAGACCCGTTTTCATATTCCATAAGACGAAACCAATTTTGTACAACAAAATATTTTAATGGTCATTACACGGAACTAACTATAGTCCATACCCTCCATAGTCCTTACAGAGGAACCAGAGAAGGCTCGTCCATTAGGCAAGTAGCGAGTAGTCCAAAGGGACGGCCAGGTATTGAGAGACGGAACTCCGACATATCTGGACCAGACCGTTGAACCTCCGAAAATTCCTGGAGTTTTTTGTCCCGCCCAGATTCGATCCCGGGTCCCCCAGAACTATGGATTGCCACCGCAACCATTCCGACATCCGGTCGTCGTATTTTTATACTCTTATTTAAATTCACTATATATTTATATATTCACTCTCAGGAAAAGAGGGTCTTTCCCTCATCAGCAGGCTGCCTTATTGTGGTCTTGACCGAACCCATAATAGGTTGCTAAACAGGCCCTCTTAATTATCACAAGATTTCCACCTTGTGTAAATTAAGAGTAATAAAAATAACAATAATTATACTGTAATAGAAAGTATAAACAGGAATAAACTTTTTTAAGGAACATAGTTTTAGTGATTCAATTGATTGGTTAGTTAACCTAAATATGCGTATATTTTGCCGCCCAAGACGAAACCCTGCATGGGGTAAGAATATAATTTAAAAATCTACCCAACCATTTTTATACGCGACTCAAATGTTCTAAAAATGTTTACAAAATATAAAAATTTATGTAAAATTTTACCTGGTTTATTATACATTCGACATAATTGCAAAACTTGACAAATTTCATTTTGGGGAACGTTTCCGTCCAATACAATTAAAGGAGATTCCAAAATCGAACGTTTATACTTAAGAATCTAATAAAATTAAATATTGAATATATTCATTGAAATTTAATAGAAGACAAAAAGTTTAGTTAAAATAAAATCAATGAAATTAATTTGATTGTTAACTTTCAGACTTTATTTTGCATAAATAAATTTTAATAATGTTTGAAAATTAATTTCTGCATATTAAATTTCGTTGTTTATTTAAATTAGTTAATTTTTGTGCCATTGCTCAACTGATTTAATGAAAATTGCATGTTTTAATTACTCGTAACTAACAGGTTTTAAATTAAGATTTTTTTGTACGCGTTTTCAAATAAATGCTTTAAATTACTTTTCTGCTTGGAGTAGATGAACGATAAAATAAAAATAAGTTTGAGTTTTTTTAATGCTTATTAGCTTAAAATTTGATACTTACGTGTGACATGTCGATGAAATCATGAGCTTTCATATCTTTGATTCCAAATAAACATTGTCCATTTACATTCAAAATAGCACAATAAACAGCTGATGGTACACTCGAAAGCACTCTTATTCCTTGGACATCCTTAATAATCAATATAATTATATTAGTATTAAAAATATTTATCAAAATATTCAAAATTTAAACAAACTACTTTCTAGTTATTGCTATTTTAGTTTAGTATAATTGTTTTCGTCGTATTTAATATTTTAGAAGTATTTCTTGTAAAAATTTTACATGCTGTAAAATTTAATTATGAAATTAAATTTCCCTTCTTTTCATATAATTTACAACAGAAATTTAATATAAAAACGCAACTTTCTCTTAACTTAAATAAGTTTATTTTTTACATAAAATTCATTTAAAAATCTTAAAACATTTTAATTCAATCCATTTTAAATGAAAATAGAATTTATAATTTTATTATTAAAAAATCATTTTAATTTTTTTTGTAAGATTTGCTTTAAAAAATGTTTTAATCTGTGTAAATTGTTATTATTATTTTTTTTTATCTATTTGATAAATAGTTCCCATATAAACAAGTTGTTTGAGTTGCCTTTTCCAAAGTCTGGAATTTGTCATGCAGCTTTTACGTCATCAGCTGACACAAAATACTTTTAGTTAAATTTGGAGAAAGCTTTCTCGCCTTTTCCCAGTTTTGTTTTCATTCAAAGTATTGAATTTTTATTTATAAACGTTTGTTTCTGTTCTCATCGTTTTTAATGTCACACCAGCATTTTTTGGAGGGGGAAAAACGAATATTTTAAATCAAACCATTAATTTTACAATAAAAAAATCGAAATACATAATTAAAATTTAAAAATAAAGTATTAAATTAAAATTTTATTCATCATACTTTAAGTGTTTTCAAGTTTCTGGGGACTACAATTTAAAAAAATGTATTTAATATATATATATGCATAAATGCTTTAAAATATTATTTAAATTTCTAATTCAATACGATTTCATTAATAGTAATTATTTTACTTAATATTTAAAAAATAAAAATTTGACTTTAAAGAAAATTTAAACTAATTTTACATTTTAATGGTACGTTAACATTTGGAAAATATAAAAGCTGAAGTAAAATTACAATTATTTTAATCCTTTTCGTATATTTTTAATATTTAAACAGTTAAATTTCTAAACATGCAATTTGTTCTCGTAAATAATTTAAAACTAAACTTATTTATTATGCTTTATATTTTTGAAATAAGTTTTTGTTGACATCATTCTTAAAACTAAAATACTTCAGTTAAACTATTTTTCTAGGAAACTAAATTAGAAATTTTTGTTTGCAGTGTTAATATGAAGTAAAATAATATAATTTAAATAATAAATAGTTTAATTTAGCATTCTTTAAATTTTATATTAAAACTGAAAGTTTCTTGAATATTTTACATAAAATGCAACAAAAATTTAATCTTTTATTATTATTTTTTTTAAATATTATTTTTCAGAAGTGTGAACCATCAAATATAAATTTTAATAAAACATTTACCGTCCAAAAAATTAATGTTATATTCTTATATTCTTCATTAATATAATTATAACGAAATTTAAAATTTTAGATATTTACTAAAATTTAGTAAAAATCAATATAAAAATACAAAAAATAAACAAATAAATAAATATATTTAAAATATAAATATTAACATAAATTATTCATTTACTAATAATTAATTGTTGATATAATATGTTTTTCTCCTTAATAAACTTTTTTTTCATATCTAAAATTCAATATTAATCATTTAAAGTAACAGTTTAAAAATAATAAATTATTAAAAACTTAATCTAATTTTATAAAAGTGTCAAGTTTAAAATTTAAATGCAATATAGATATTTCCCTAAAGTACTAAAAATTTTAAGGCAATTTATTTTATGTAAATCAACTCAAATTATTTTATTTTTTAAAGAATAAAACAAGTGTTTCACGACTTTACAGTATAAATATTTATTATGCTTATTATTTATGTATTATTTTCTAAATATATATTATAAATATGCTACCATGTTTGTATTTTGATTCACAATTGTTTTTCCATTTCTATCGTCACCAATAGTAGATATAAGTAAAGGATCTTTCCCTAATCTAGATAAACAGTCGGCAATATTCCTTCCAACTCCTCCAGCAGAAGATTGAATCTTTCCTGAATAACTTCTACCATCGTGCTGTAAATAAATAAATAAAATTATAATGTAATTATGTAAATTTATTCATTAGAAAGTATTCGTGCGTGAATAATGCTACTGAAAACAAATCTTGTTAAAGGGAAGGTTAGACACGCAATAATAGTTTTTATGCCCGTGGCCAACGATTATCAAGTACTAGTTTACTTTATAGTGTGCCAATTTACGAAACAATCAAAGTAAAATTTAATTTAGCTAGATCTAATCTAAGATAGGCTATACAGTTAGTAAAATGACAATATTAATTAATTTATTAAGCACTACCAAATTTTCATCTACTAAATATTATTTAGATATTAACATTTATAAAAGGAAACCTGCAATGAGTCAACTAAATTTCTTTTACTACTTAAAATACTAAATAACGTAATAAATTTTATGTATTACCGAAGAAATTTTATATAATAAAAAAAGTTTTAAAATGTAAGAAAAACTTGAGGAAATTCATGCAACGAAAGCTAATTAGCTAAGAAAACATTATTTTAATAGCCATTAAAATAATTACATCAGTTTAGACTTCGGAAGACATTTCATCTACAGTAATAACATACAGAAAATTTCAGAGTGAAAACCGGATTTAGACTTCTTGTGGTTTTTTGCTACAAAATACAAAAGGCCCTTTCTTTCTTTAGCAAATAATAGGTAGTACGTATAAAGTGTCTTTGAGAATAACAGGAGGCCCTAAGCTATAGTTTACTTAACTTAAACATGTCAGACCATATCATCCTGTAATGAGAATTACGTATCATTATTTTATCGAATTCATATTTCTAACGACATAATATAAGTAGTTCGTTTATTTATTATAATATAAAAATGATCATTATATAGCCTACAAATATAACTATATTTTATAGTAATAAATCACACGAATTGAGAAAGAATAATTAGATTTAAACGGACAGATGAGCAATTTCTTATAGAATGTTATGTAGGCCTATATGATATATAATACATTATATTTCTAACAGGAATGTTACTTCTTATAAAGTTCTAAATATGACACCGTATCTTGAAAATAATTCATCAATGTCTTTTATGCCCGGATATAGTAGATATATGGGCAGAAAAACATATGGAAAGAAATTTCCTGAGTAAAAGTGATCCTGTCCAGTTAAATTTTGATCGATGAACAAATTTTTATTTACATTTAGTATTCGGCGGTTTTTTAAACTCGAATAATTCGAGTAAATTCTACATACGGCGGAGTATTTATTATATTTCATTGAATCCATATTAAGTTTCTTTAATAACAAAAAAAAAAAAAAAGAAGCAAACTTTAATCTTACGAAATATTAGATTAATAATATTTTAGGCATTAAGCCATACGACTTTATAACTTAGACGGCTTCTTATTTCGATTTTATATCAGTTTATGTTAAAGAATTATAAGTTTTAATTAATATAAGCTGTTTCAATCAGCACCAGTTTGGCGTATAGAGATAATATATAGCAATAAAAAATTTATAATCAAGTCCCGTTTTTAAATGCGTATGAATTATTACATCTGGTATTATGTATAGATGTTTATTATACTCTTTACTATAGAAAAATAAGATTTAAATTCGCCATAAATTAGAAATTGGATAGCTTTGATACGAAGATAAACCACAGGAGTAGTAGTTGGAGTTTCCCTTCTACCGCAAGGAGTCGCACAGCATGGAATGACGTCAAATGCTTGGTCGTATCGAGGAGGGGAGACCAAGATATGTCTGCAGTTGAGAAAAGAGACGGCCGTCTGCCAGCATCTTGTTTATACAAAGTGCGTGGCTTCCGCGATAATTCGGATCTATTATCGAAGACCTAAACCCGAAGGAAATGTTTTTTGGCATATTAAGGTGAGTCATATATAATTCGAATAATTTTTTTTAATATTTGTTTTTTGCTGTTATACGACGATTCATAATCCAGGAGATTCTTCTCAAAATGTCATCTTTCATCACCCGTTTGTTAATTGTTTATCGTCTAAATCCTTAAATACGTCATTAGAAAATCGATTTATGTAACAATCCTCTCTCTTTAACTTATTATACGATTTGTAATAATAATGTCGACGAATTAATTAATTTATAAAATAAATTTCATATAATTTTTTATTTATCGTCCCCGACAGAATTTACAAAGTAGAACTCTTAACGTGTCATACAAAAATAAATAAAGTATTTTAAGGCAGATGTTGATGAAAAATTGTCTGCGAATTTTTTTTAATTCGCGCGCATTTCTATTATTAAATAAGTCAAGAGTTTCTGTCGTTAAAAAATGAAAGCTAATGTCTCTTACACGAAAAATTGCCCCACAGCTAACAACTGATCATCAAATATTCAGACGAATGAGTTAATTTTTTATTGTTTAACTGAAAATTACTACTATTCTTTTCGTTTAGTAAACCAATTTCGATTTTTCTGACTGGCACAAGATTGATCTTATTCACTACTTCTATCACGTGTTTCGATCTGAAAACATTAACATGAAATTCGGTACAACGGCCTAGAAACTCGCTTGGGAAATTCCTTTTGTTTCATAGATGGTCGCGTATACAACACAGAAGCAAAGCGTACTGTACCTTATAGAAACAGCTTTGATGATACTCGTTAAACTATATTTGGAGTGTCGAGTGAATGTCGGATCTGCAAAACAGCCGTAATTTTGCGACAAATTTATTTCTACGCTCCACCTAATCTCCCGAGATTTCTAAAGGTCCGCCCTCGGATAATTATGCCGTAGCTCGAACTGACTTCGTCATTTTCGTGATTTGTTTGAAAATAGAACTTAAAAATGACAATCGTTAACGGGAAGAAAAAAAAGAAGATTATATATTATTATTTACAGCGTGTTCCTGAAAGTATTTCCTCGATAACATTCGGAAAGATTGATGGAAGCGTCCAAGAAGATTTTATCTCCGGATGCTGACAGTAACATTCAATAAGTCGATCTTATCAGTCGTCGACTAAAACACTCCATAGATGAATTTCTCTTCAAAACTCTTATGCTTCACTAATTTAAATTGTAAGGAAGCCAACAAAAATTCGAAGAAAGTAAGAGTTTTTCGGAGAAGTTTCGATCTCGATTTTTCTTTTTTACGGATATAAAATTGAATTTCTTTACGCGAAGGAAATGTTTATTTGATAATACAAACTTCAGTTAATTGAAACAGCCGCGGACACTAGTTTAGTCGGAAACATTCCAATCTTCCTTACATTCCGTTCCTTCTAATCGTGTCAATGAAAAGAAATAGAATTGTTTCGTGTAATAACTTCCTCCTTGACCTTTCAACATTTTTAAGTAGACGACGTGAATTATCGTTGAACAGAATCAAGATTTCAGAAGTGTTTCTTTCTACTTATCAAGCGGCAAGCAATTAGAGTAAACACTCATTGATTCTTTTTATCTCGATAATGAAATTCGAGACGAATATAGATTTATTATGTTTATCAATTGCATAAATTATTATTACTGTAATTTTTTTAATCAAAAAATAGAAGAAGGTAATTTTTAGATTAGATTTTAAAGAAAAGCAATTTGTTTATAAACTGTATGAATTAATTAAAAAGATTATATAAGATGAAAATATAAACCAAGAGATAACGCACGGGTTATATCATCTATAAGGAAAACAAACATTATGTTCCGTTAATGTTATATTCATTTTATTTTCTTTCGCAAAATCGATTTGTTTTGTACTGTGTAAAATTCTTTTGTTTGTATTTATTAACTAATTATTCTTTTAACATGGATTGATAACGTTTCAAATGTTGTTTTGTATAATCTTGTAAGCAAATTTTTTATATTAAAAATATGTTTTATCAAATTTTACGTAGCAGATAACAGAGGAATATAATTTATTGAAGTTAAAAGTTATTTTGGACGAAAGTAAGCGTAATATATTCTTTTATAAAATTAGTGTTAAGTAAAAAGGAAAAAAAATTGATTCTAACATGGATTGATAACGTTTCAAATGTTGTTTTGTATAATCTTGTAAGCAAATTTTTNGGCTGGCGCGTGTTTCCTGATAAATTATTTTTCTGCGAAAAATTTGCTGAACTTTGGAGACATCATTAATATAAATATAATTTTTATGGCCGTTAAATAATAAATGGTTTTTAGTAGGTCCGCTGCTCGTTTAAACTCAACGGTTTTGCAATATCCGCTATTGGTCTAGATTCGACCAATCCTGTCGCGACACGAGTCGGCGATGACGTTTTACCGTATCATACGAGTCTCTTTTAGCGTGTTTATACGAATACGATCGCAATTTTTTCGCCGTTATATACAAATCCATATTATATGACCCCGTTTTATAAGGGGTCTACTGTAATTTTTTTTTCATTTTTGACTCTTTACTCACTGTGGTCAATTTTTATCAAGCCCATCGTGGTTCGACCAACGGGGCGCGACTTATCTGGAATGGATCAACCCCGGAAAATTTCTGAAATTTTTCATTCCGGCGGAATTTGTCCCCAGATTCCCTAGAACGATAGGCTTACATTGTAACCAGGTAAACTTTTCCTGGATTTTTCTTTACGTATCTAACACCTAAATAGAAGCCAATTTTCCATAGAAAGTACTCCCCAAGAGGCATTCCACTCTTGACAGATTGCCTGTGTTGCATTGTCATAGGCCATCAAACCGACGGCCGGATGGCCGAGCGGTCAAGGTGGCAGCCTACCGCTTCGACTGAAATAATTAAATCCTAAATATGCGGCCGGATGGCCGAGCGGTCAAGGTGGCAGCCTACCACTCTGGGGGACCCGGAATCGAATCCGGATGGATATGTCGGCTTCCGTCCCTCACCACCCTGCCGCCAAATTGTGGACCTGGTTGAACCCGTAGTGGGCTTGCTAAAAAAGGTCATCTTAGTACCCACAAAGCGGAAAGAGTTATAAAAAAGCCTATCAAACCAAAACTTAAATTTTAGGAAATTTCATTCGAAAATTTTTCCTGAAAGGAGTTAGACAGATGACCAGCACGATTTAACTGATGTACAGGAGCAAGACACTACAGTACTAATTTTAGGTGGAGAGCATATATTTTAAATTAAATAAATTAAAAATATGATTAAAAATTTCAGGCCATTGTGACGATGTCGCAATAATTTTTAATAAAGATGTACGAAGGAAAAGCTCTCTCCATCAGCTTTATAATAGTATTAATATACTGTATTTCAATTGTATTGCAAATAGCATTATTTGATATAGAAGTAAAGAACTACTGAAAACAAATTACTTCATTTTTAGTAAATAAACTATAAAAATTATGATTATTGGTTGCGATTTTTAAAATTTTGTTTTTCGATATGGAAACCATTGATCAATGGAATCTGGTATTTTACATCACGGCTGGAATCATAATGTCCGTTGCAAATAGCATTATTTGATATAGAAGTAAAGAACTACTGAAAACAAATTACTTCATTTTTAGTAAATAAATTATAAAAATTATGATTATTGGACTGCAATTTAAAAAAAACTGTAGACCTATAAATTTCCTCTGTCATCTGTCTGTCTGTCTTTCCTTAATCTCGAGAACGGAGTTAGATAGATGAAAGTTGCGACCAGATATGGAAAGCTTATGAGAAGGAGACCTCGATTAACTATATAGCAACTTCCAATACAAACCAAAAGTTATGTTAATTTAATTTAAAAACTCTTCCCTGAGAAGAGTTAGATAGCTGGCCAACATGACTATTACTAACAGGAAAAGTATGATGTACAGGGGCAAAACACTACTAATTTGACGTGGAGAACATTAAAAATATGATTAAGAATTGCAGCCCGGCATTGTTGCGATGTGACAATAAATAATTGTTCGTTATTTCTTAATGTTTTCTAAATATATACTATTATTTGAAGCTAAATTTTCATTAAAATTAGACATCAAGAGCGTCTAAAAGAAAGGGCCAGGATGAGCAAATCCTTTCTAAGATTTACTTTATTTTTTCTAATAGGAATTTTGGGTTCGCGCCTCACTAACGAGAGGGTCACGTGGATTTTTCCGTGTTTTCTTCACGTGCCTAACATCTAACTAGTTTCCCATTGAATGTCCTCTCGACAGGCATTCCATCTTGACAGACCCGTTTTCATATTCCATAAGACGAAACCAATTTTGTACAACAAAATATTTTAATGGTCATTACACGGAACTAACTATAGTCCATACCCTCCATAGTCCTTACAGAGGAACCAGAGAAGGCTCGTCCATTAGGCAAGTAGCGAGTAGTCCAAAGGGACGGCCAGGTATTGAGAGACGGAACTCCGACATATCTGGACCAGACCGTTGAACCTCCGAAAATTCCTGGAGTTTTTTGTCCCGCCCAGATTCGATCCCGGGTCCCCCAGAACTATGGATTGCCACCGCAACCATTCCGACATCCGGTCGTCGTATTTTTATACTCTTATTTAAATTCACTATATATTTATATATTCACTCTCAGGAAAAGAGGGTCTTTCCCTCATCAGCAGGCTGCCTTATTGTGGTCTTGACCGAACCCATAATAGGTTGCTAAACAGGCCCTCTTAATTATCACAAGATTTCCACCTTGTGTAAATTAAGAGTAATAAAAATAACAATAATTATACTGTAATAGAAAGTATAAACAGGAATAAACTTTTTTAAGGAACATAGTTTTAGTGATTCAATTGATTGGTTAGTTAACCTAAATATGCGTATATTTTGCCGCCCAAGACGAAACCCTGCATGGGGTAAGAATATAATTTAAAAATCTACCCAACCATTTTTATACGCGACTCAAATGTTCTAAAAATGTTTACAAAATATAAAAATTTATGTAAAATTTTACCTGGTTTATTATACATTCGACATAATTGCAAAACTTGACAAATTTCATTTTGGGGAACGTTTCCGTCCAATACAATTAAAGGAGATTCCAAAATCGAACGTTTATACTTAAGAATCTAATAAAATTAAATATTGAATATATTCATTGAAATTTAATAGAAGACAAAAAGTTTAGTTAAAATAAAATCAATGAAATTAATTTGATTGTTAACTTTCAGACTTTATTTTGCATAAATAAATTTTAATAATGTTTGAAAATTAATTTCTGCATATTAAATTTCGTTGTTTATTTAAATTAGTTAATTTTTGTGCCATTGCTCAACTGATTTAATGAAAATTGCATGTTTTAATTACTCGTAACTAACAGGTTTTAAATTAAGATTTTTTTGTACGCGTTTTCAAATAAATGCTTTAAATTACTTTTCTGCTTGGAGTAGATGAACGATAAAATAAAAATAAGTTTGAGTTTTTTTAATGCTTATTAGCTTAAAATTTGATACTTACGTGTGACATGTCGATGAAATCATGAGCTTTCATATCTTTGATTCCAAATAAACATTGTCCATTTACATTCAAAATAGCACAATAAACAGCTGATGGTACACTCGAAAGCACTCTTATTCCTTGGACATCCTTAATAATCAATATAATTATATTAGTATTAAAAATATTTATCAAAATATTCAAAATTTAAACAAACTACTTTCTAGTTATTGCTATTTTAGTTTAGTATAATTGTTTTCGTCGTATTTAATATTTTAGAAGTATTTCTTGTAAAAATTTTACATGCTGTAAAATTTAATTATGAAATTAAATTTCCCTTCTTTTCATATAATTTACAACAGAAATTTAATATAAAAACGCAACTTTCTCTTAACTTAAATAAGTTTATTTTTTACATAAAATTCATTTAAAAATCTTAAAACATTTTAATTCAATCCATTTTAAATGAAAATAGAATTTATAATTTTATTATTAAAAAATCATTTTAATTTTTTTTGTAAGATTTGCTTTAAAAAATGTTTTAATCTGTGTAAATTGTTATTATTATTTTTTTTTATCTATTTGATAAATAGTTCCCATATAAACAAGTTGTTTGAGTTGCCTTTTCCAAAGTCTGGAATTTGTCATGCAGCTTTTACGTCATCAGCTGACACAAAATACTTTTAGTTAAATTTGGAGAAAGCTTTCTCGCCTTTTCCCAGTTTTGTTTTCATTCAAAGTATTGAATTTTTATTTATAAACGTTTGTTTCTGTTCTCATCGTTTTTAATGTCACACCAGCATTTTTTGGAGGGGGAAAAACGAATATTTTAAATCAAACCATTAATTTTACAATAAAAAAATCGAAATACATAATTAAAATTTAAAAATAAAGTATTAAATTAAAATTTTATTCATCATACTTTAAGTGTTTTCAAGTTTCTGGGGACTACAATTTAAAAAAATGTATTTAATATATATATATGCATAAATGCTTTAAAATATTATTTAAATTTCTAATTCAATACGATTTCATTAATAGTAATTATTTTACTTAATATTTAAAAAATAAAAATTTGACTTTAAAGAAAATTTAAACTAATTTTACATTTTAATGGTACGTTAACATTTGGAAAATATAAAAGCTGAAGTAAAATTACAATTATTTTAATCCTTTTCGTATATTTTTAATATTTAAACAGTTAAATTTCTAAACATGCAATTTGTTCTCGTAAATAATTTAAAACTAAACTTATTTATTATGCTTTATATTTTTGAAATAAGTTTTTGTTGACATCATTCTTAAAACTAAAATACTTCAGTTAAACTATTTTTCTAGGAAACTAAATTAGAAATTTTTGTTTGCAGTGTTAATATGAAGTAAAATAATATAATTTAAATAATAAATAGTTTAATTTAGCATTCTTTAAATTTTATATTAAAACTGAAAGTTTCTTGAATATTTTACATAAAATGCAACAAAAATTTAATCTTTTATTATTATTTTTTTTAAATATTATTTTTCAGAAGTGTGAACCATCAAATATAAATTTTAATAAAACATTTACCGTCCAAAAAATTAATGTTATATTCTTATATTCTTCATTAATATAATTATAACGAAATTTAAAATTTTAGATATTTACTAAAATTTAGTAAAAATCAATATAAAAATACAAAAAATAAACAAATAAATAAATATATTTAAAATATAAATATTAACATAAATTATTCATTTACTAATAATTAATTGTTGATATAATATGTTTTTCTCCTTAATAAACTTTTTTTTCATATCTAAAATTCAATATTAATCATTTAAAGTAACAGTTTAAAAATAATAAATTATTAAAAACTTAATCTAATTTTATAAAAGTGTCAAGTTTAAAATTTAAATGCAATATAGATATTTCCCTAAAGTACTAAAAATTTTAAGGCAATTTATTTTATGTAAATCAACTCAAATTATTTTATTTTTTAAAGAATAAAACAAGTGTTTCACGACTTTACAGTATAAATATTTATTATGCTTATTATTTATGTATTATTTTCTAAATATATATTATAAATATGCTACCATGTTTGTATTTTGATTCACAATTGTTTTTCCATTTCTATCGTCACCAATAGTAGATATAAGTAAAGGATCTTTCCCTAATCTAGATAAACAGTCGGCAATATTCCTTCCAACTCCTCCAGCAGAAGATTGAATCTTTCCTGAATAACTTCTACCATCGTGCTGTAAATAAATAAATAAAATTATAATGTAATTATGTAAATTTATTCATTAGAAAGTATTCGTGCGTGAATAATGCTACTGAAAACAAATCTTGTTAAAGGGAAGGTTAGACACGCAATAATAGTTTTTATGCCCGTGGCCAACGATTATCAAGTACTAGTTTACTTTATAGTGTGCCAATTTACGAAACAATCAAAGTAAAATTTAATTTAGCTAGATCTAATCTAAGATAGGCTATACAGTTAGTAAAATGACAATATTAATTAATTTATTAAGCACTACCAAATTTTCATCTACTAAATATTATTTAGATATTAACATTTATAAAAGGAAACCTGCAATGAGTCAACTAAATTTCTTTTACTACTTAAAATACTAAATAACGTAATAAATTTTATGTATTACCGAAGAAATTTTATATAATAAAAAAAGTTTTAAAATGTAAGAAAAACTTGAGGAAATTCATGCAACGAAAGCTAATTAGCTAAGAAAACATTATTTTAATAGCCATTAAAATAATTACATCAGTTTAGACTTCGGAAGACATTTCATCTACAGTAATAACATACAGAAAATTTCAGAGTGAAAACCGGATTTAGACTTCTTGTGGTTTTTTGCTACAAAATACAAAAGGCCCTTTCTTTCTTTAGCAAATAATAGGTAGTACGTATAAAGTGTCTTTGAGAATAACAGGAGGCCCTAAGCTATAGTTTACTTAACTTAAACATGTCAGACCATATCATCCTGTAATGAGAATTACGTATCATTATTTTATCGAATTCATATTTCTAACGACATAATATAAGTAGTTCGTTTATTTATTATAATATAAAAATGATCATTATATAGCCTACAAATATAACTATATTTTATAGTAATAAATCACACGAATTGAGAAAGAATAATTAGATTTAAACGGACAGATGAGCAATTTCTTATAGAATGTTATGTAGGCCTATATGATATATAATACATTATATTTCTAACAGGAATGTTACTTCTTATAAAGTTCTAAATATGACACCGTATCTTGAAAATAATTCATCAATGTCTTTTATGCCCGGATATAGTAGATATATGGGCAGAAAAACATATGGAAAGAAATTTCCTGAGTAAAAGTGATCCTGTCCAGTTAAATTTTGATCGATGAACAAATTTTTATTTACATTTAGTATTCGGCGGTTTTTTAAACTCGAATAATTCGAGTAAATTCTACATACGGCGGAGTATTTATTATATTTCATTGAATCCATATTAAGTTTCTTTAATAACAAAAAAAAAAAAGAAGCAAACTTTAATCTTACGAAATATTAGATTAATAATATTTTAGGCATTAAGCCATACGACTTTATAACTTAGACGGCTTCTTATTTCGATTTTATATCAGTTTATGTTAAAGAATTATAAGTTTTAATTAATATAAGCTGTTTCAATCAGCACCAGTTTGGCGTATAGAGATAATATATAGCAATAAAAAATTTATAATCAAGTCCCGTTTTTAAATGCGTATGAATTATTACATCTGGTATTATGTATAGATGTTTATTATACTCTTTACTATAGAAAAATAAGATTTAAATTCGCCATAAATTAGAAATTGGATAGCTTTGATACGAAGATAAACCACAGGAGTAGTAGTTGGAGTTTCCCTTCTACCGCAAGGAGTCGCACAGCATGGAATGACGTCAAATGCTTGGTCGTATCGAGGAGGGGAGACCAAGATATGTCTGCAGTTGAGAAAAGAGACGGCCGTCTGCCAGCATCTTGTTTATACAAAGTGCGTGGCTTCCGCGATAATTCGGATCTATTATCGAAGACCTAAACCCGAAGGAAATGTTTTTTGGCATATTAAGGTGAGTCATATATAATTCGAATAATTTTTTTTAATATTTGTTTTTTGCTGTTATACGACGATTCATAATCCAGGAGATTCTTCTCAAAATGTCATCTTTCATCACCCGTTTGTTAATTGTTTATCGTCTAAATCCTTAAATACGTCATTAGAAAATCGATTTATGTAACAATCCTCTCTCTTTAACTTATTATACGATTTGTAATAATAATGTCGACGAATTAATTAATTTATAAAATAAATTTCATATAATTTTTTATTTATCGTCCCCGACAGAATTTACAAAGTAGAACTCTTAACGTGTCATACAAAAATAAATAAAGTATTTTAAGGCAGATGTTGATGAAAAATTGTCTGCGAATTTTTTTTAATTCGCGCGCATTTCTATTATTAAATAAGTCAAGAGTTTCTGTCGTTAAAAAATGAAAGCTAATGTCTCTTACACGAAAAATTGCCCCACAGCTAACAACTGATCATCAAATATTCAGACGAATGAGTTAATTTTTTATTGTTTAACTGAAAATTACTACTATTCTTTTCGTTTAGTAAACCAATTTCGATTTTTCTGACTGGCACAAGATTGATCTTATTCACTACTTCTATCACGTGTTTCGATCTGAAAACATTAACATGAAATTCGGTACAACGGCCTAGAAACTCGCTTGGGAAATTCCTTTTGTTTCATAGATGGTCGCGTATACAACACAGAAGCAAAGCGTACTGTACCTTATAGAAACAGCTTTGATGATACTCGTTAAACTATATTTGGAATGTCGAGTGAATGTCGGATCTGCAAAACAGCCGTAATTTTGCGACAAATTTATTTCTACGCTCCACCTAATCTCCCGAGATTTCTAAAGGTCCGCCCTCGGATAATTATGCCGTAGCTCGAACTGACTTCGTCATTTTCGTGATTTGTTTGAAAATAGAACTTAAAAATGACAATCGTTAACGGGAAGAAAAAAAAGAAGATTATATATTATTATTTACAGCGTGTTCCTGAAAGTATTTCCTCGATAACATTCGGAAAGATTGATGGAAGCGTCCAAGAAGATTTTATCTCCGGATGCTGACAGTAACATTCAATAAGTCGATCTTATCAGTCGTCGACTAAAACACTCCATAGATGAATTTCTCTTCAAAACTCTTATGCTTCACTAATTTAAATTGTAAGGAAGCCAACAAAAATTCGAAGAAAGTAAGAGTTTTTCGGAGAACTTTCGATCTCGATTTTTCTTTTTTACGGATATAAAATTGAATTTCTTTACGCGAAGGAAATGTTTATTTGATAATACAAACTTCAGTTAATTGAAACAGCCGCGGACACTAGTTTAGTCGGAAACATTCCAATCTTCCTTACATTCCGTTCCTTCTAATCGTGTCAATGAAAAGAAATAGAATTGTTTCGTGTAATAACTTCCTCCTTGACCTTTCAACATTTTTAAGTAGACGACGTGAATTATCGTTGAACAGAATCAAGATTTCAGAAGTGTTTCTTTCTACTTATCAAGCGGCAAGCAATTAGAGTAAACACTCATTGATTCTTTTTATCTCGATAATGAAATTCGAGACGAATATAGATTTATTATGTTTATCAATTGCATAAATTATTATTACTGTAATTTTTTTAATCAAAAAAATAGAAGAAGGTAATTTTTAGATTAGATTTTAAAGAAAAGCAATTTGTTTATAAACTGTATGAATTAATTAAAAAGATTATATAAGATGAAAATATAAACCAAGAGATAACGCACGGGTTATATCATCTATAAGGAAAACAAACATTATGTTCCGTTAATGTTATATTCATTTTATTTTCTTTCGCAAAATCGATTTGTTTTGTACTGTGTAAAATTCTTTTGTTTGTATTTATTAACTAATTATTCTTTTAACATGGATTGATAACGTTTCAAATGTTGTTTTGTATAATCTTGTAAGCAAATTTTTTATATTAAAAATATGTTTTATCAAATTTTACGTAGCAGATAACAGAGGAATATAATTTATTGAAGTTAAAAGTTATTTTGGACGAAAGTAAGCGTAATATATTCTTTTATAAAATTAGTGTTAAGTAAAAAGGAAAAAAAATTGATTCTAAAAAGGAAAAAAGTCAAATCTTTAGGGAAAAAAAGATACAAGAAGAAAGAAGATAGGTTTAGAAGTGAAAAAAATAAAGAATTTTTAATTTAAAAAATATATGTAGTGTAATAAATGTAGTAAATAATCAATATTTATACATCTATATATAAAATTATGGCGTGACGTTATAAATCGTCATCTTACGATTAGTTTTATATTTAATTGAAGAGAAAATTCGTTCATTTATAATATATTTTGTATTTAAATTTTAAAATACTTTATTAAATTAATCAAAATTAAAATAAAAATTCATCAAAAAGAATATATGCATTTAATTCAAATATCCAAAAACATAATGTAAGACATTTAGAATAGACTTCATCAATTTCTTTATTGCAAAAACCAGAATAATTCAAAATAATAGAAATGTATCAAACAGTATTTTCTGTACGTTATAATTTATTGTAAAAAAATTATATATTTTTTAAGTAGTTAACCGAGTAAGATCAAGGGAGTAAACTCGCGCCTATTTAAATGTCTTACTTAATTTATTTACTGTATTGAAGTCGAAGAAATTGTAAGTTATATTTATCCTATTGTAGTTCAAGAAATACAAGCTGTCGTAAGTAAATGAAATATATATTGCAAAAGTTTCTTCTAACTGACTGTATGTATTTATTATAAATGCGTATTTGTAGACTATTTCTTAAAATATACAAAATAAAACATGCAAGAAGGCTTTCGGAAAGGAATAACGCTTTAACGTTTGCGGAGTCGGCCGTTGTATTTGCATAAAATGAATAATAAATTCGAATAAATAAATAAATAAATAACATGTTTACCAAATATTTATGTCTATTTTAAAACTTTCAATCTTCCAACGTATCGTGTTTTCTCGATAAAATTGCTTAGAAGCTTTTAAATGTTTTGATTTAAATGACTTTTTTTTGTATCAATAGAAATAAGAATTGATTGCGGTTTGGTGCGTAGGATGATAAAATTTAATATCATTTAATGTAATAATTGTTAATTTAATTCCGAGTTATTATTTTAAAAGAGAATTTCGTCTAGGCCTGTTCTCATAATATTCGTATCGGAGCAGTGTTCTTATTTTTATTTGGTGAATGATTATTTAAAAAGATATAGGCCTAATTATTTTTAAAGATTATTCTTATCGAAAATGAATAATTTTCGAGCGCTGGCTTATAAAATAAATCCAATAGATTTCTTTGATTTATTTTTTCTAAGTTTGTTTATATTTGGTTTTTAATATAATTTCTTTAATATTTTAAATACAGAAAGTTGCAATAATACAAAATCATTTCTGGAAGTAACATTTCTCTTGGAAATAAAAAGCATAAATCTTCGTCTAGAAACAGAATATTCTTTTATAAAGTGAACTAAATTTTGATAAAAAAAATAATTTAAATTTTACCGACTTTTTAAATGTTTGCACGATCATCGATTGTGGAAGATATTTAGATCTTACATATTAGAAAACAATTTTGTCTTTAAGTTCTAATTTAATATATTATTTAATTAGACTGCATAAGATATTTTAATGTATATTATTATTAAAATTTCTATTCTGTTATATTATAGAATACTATGAACTATGTTTGTTTCTGTAAATCATAATGAAATATTTTAATTTTTAATCGGCAAATAAAAAAATGAATTGATATTAACAAATGAACTGAAATTCTATCTTTATGAATAAATACTGTAATATAATCGCAATAAGCTTAAAATATCGTATTATCAATCATAGTTACTGTTTTGTCAGTAATTTGTCAGTTTAAAGTTATAAAGGGCTATTATCCGTTCTTATCTGTCTAATCTTTGATTTATTAGTTCTAAATTAGAATGAAGTATTTGGAATAAGGAAGCAGAAAACAAAAACAAAAGAGCACTATTTAAATGAAATAATTGACAATACTTCCCGTATGTAATTATTTAAAATGATTCGAAAAGATCATTTGATGGATCATATACACAATGATTAAACCTGAATTTAGTTTTGCAAGGAAAATTGATTCATTATATATTGACTAAAACTTCTCTAAACTAGTCTAATATAGAATACAGATAGTTCGTACTGCTATTATAGTACTCTCAATACCGGGAATTGATAGTTCTATGAATTACATTTCTCATTGACTGCACATTTGTAACCGGAAATTGATAAGGAGAGCAATTACTCAGCGATTTCCAAACATGAAGCGCAGAAATCCTTCCCAATTGTTACTGTTGAAAAGGACTCGAAATGATGTTACAGCCAAGAAATATTTAGAAATAGAAATAGACTTCATCGGTTTATTTCAAATGGTTTTCCAAACATCTACAAAAATATTCGATTTGATTCTTTACAGGGAGGATCGAAACGGAGCTATCCCCCTCCTAAAATAAAGGCCCGATTTTTAATACGCATTTTCTAGTTTTAAATTATTTTAAAAACATCCAGATTGTGCTATTAAATGGATTTATAAGGCGAAATTTATTTATCTCTGTTTTTGAGGATTACTTATGAAGATTAAACTTCATAAGTAACCCCTTCATAAAACTTCTAGATCGGTACCTGTTTTTTTCTTTTTTAATACGTCTTACAGTTAAAGTAAAATCGAATAAATCATACATAAAATATAATAAATTCAAAAATTATTCTAATCTATATTATTAATTTATGTTTAACATTAAGTTTATAGCTTTAAATAATGTAGAACATACGAAATGAGTAACAAAATTTTAATTAAAAAATTTCAAAAATCAAGAAAATATTTTCTAAATAATATAAAGAATTTTATTTCTGGAATTTTTTGCCACGTAGGCTATTGTTAAATAAACTGTATATTTAAATTACATATTATTTTCTTTTTCGCGTTATAATAATGTCATGTTATAGTCACCAAAAATACTATGTTT